CGATCAATGCAGCTGTACTTGGTAAGAACTGCTTCATATTGATGCCTACTGGAGGGGGTAAGAGCCTCTGCTATCAGCTACCAGCACTGCTACTGGATGGAGTCACTATTGTAGTCTCACCACTGAGGTCACTGATACAGGATCAAGTACAGAAACTGAACAGCTTAGAAGTAAAGGGAGAGAAGGAATTAGTTTAACTTTATTTTGATGTTTTATACATGGACATGTAGAAATACAATATGCATAGATATTAGTACATTTAGTAGTCTTTATTATACATGTACATGTGTATGGTACATGTATTTAAAGTTTATTATTATTATTATTAATTATTATTTTTTTTCTTGTTGTGTAGATCTCTGCTTGTCATTTATCTGGTGAGTATTCACAGTCGGAGGAGCTGAGAGTTTATACTGAACTGTCTCGACTTGACCCTGGAATAAAACTACTCTACGTCACACCAGAGAAAGTAAATACATGTAGTCATGTACATTATAACCAGTAATTATGAAACCAGTTCATTACCATATAGTGGGAAATTTTGTAGGGAGTTAAATTTGGAAAATTTGTTGTTTTGATAGCCATTCACCAAATAATGTGCATGCTCAATGGAACTTGGCCACAAATTTGTCAAATTAAAATTTGCCAGTCACCAAAATTTAGCAATTTTCCAAATTTAAGTCCCTCCAAAATTTCCCACTATACAGTATGTGTTACAATCCTTCACTCTCTCTCCCTCTCTCTCTCTCTCTCTCTCTCTCTCTCTCTCTCTCTCTCTCTCTCTCTCTCTCCCTCTCTTCCTCTCTCTCTCCTCCATTAGTTGGCTGCTAGTACTAAATTGCTAAAGACCCTCCAGTCTCTTTATTCTCGTGGTAAGATCTCACGGTTTGTTATAGACGAGGCTCACTGCATCAGTCAGTGGGGTCATGACTTCAGGCCGGACTATAAGAGGCTCTCAGAGCTACGGCAGCAGTTTCCTCAGGTACCTACAATGGCTCTCACTGCCACTGCCACTCCGCGAGTTAGAGCTGATATACTCTACCAGTTGAAACTGTCTCATACTAAATGGTATGTCTACATTCATTGGGATTGCTAATTCTTTTATAATTAAAACTTTTAATGCATAAAGTCCCTGTATTACAGTACAAGGAAAATGAAAAGTTGAGAATTTTTCATTTTTATAATTTTTCCTGATACATACACATGTTTTTATGTTGTGTAAAAAGTTTGAGCTGATTTCGATCAAAATTTGATTTTTTACGAATTTTTAAAGTTGCTCCAAAATTAGACCAAAATCCCTGTACTATAGTACAGGGATTTTGGTCTAATTTTGCCAAAAATGAAAAGGAGAGAATTCTTCATTTTAATTACATTTCCTGATACATATACATGTTCTTATGTTGTGTAGAAAGTTTGAGCTAATTCCAATCAAAATTGGATTTTTTACAAATTTTCAAAGTTGCTCCAAAATCGGACAAAAATC